TTTAATTCATCTATTTTCCAGTAGAGATAAAACATGATTAAAATAGCTGCAGTTCCTCTTTCCACCTTCCCCTGTGCTTACTGGTCTGCAGTCTTCTTACAGTGCAGGCTTAACACCTGACATTTTCTCTTTATTCCTCTTTTTGCTGCCCTGTCTCATACAGGTAAACTGTACTTTTGAGGAAAGGCAGCAAAATGTGAAAACAAAAGAGCTTTATATTGTGCAATTCCCCATTATTCTTGATCTCAGTCCAACACTGAACTCTCGTGTCGTTTGACTTAAAGAAGTGCTCATTGATTGAGAGTGCGCTGTACATGTTAGCTGAGTCTCCCCATACAAAGAGGCTGTGCTAATCATTTGTGGGGAGCCACTGCATCACCAGATGAGTGATCCTGGAAATAATCTCAGACTTTGTAATGGCAGAAGAAGAGATATGACTGATGTAATTAGTCATGTGAAGTGACTGGGGCACAGCAAGAGGAGACGACAGGCTTTCACTGGGTCTGTCAGGGTAAAAAGACTGAACTCCAGAAGCACTTCAGTTTCCCCACTTGCCACCTAAATATTAAAATGACCTTTTTTTTGAGGAGGGAAAGGCATTCTGAGATTGTTTGTCTGTCTCCATGCAAGTATAAAACATTGTAATTGTTTGGTATTACAGTATCTGGAAGCACTTCAGGGATCTTTGTGAGCATCCAGTGAACTGACCTTGGCTTTTTGTTTTGTCTGCGCTTTTCAAAATAATTGTAGATAGTTCATGTTTTGTTGCAACTGCTTATATTTCTGAAAAGCAACATTTATATCAGAGGATTTATACTATCCAAAATGAAAGCCCTAAAGGACTCTGCAGAATGTGACTGCTTCTGCCTTTCCTCGTCTACTGGCAGGGCTCTTGAGAAGGTGGGAAAATCTGGACTTGGGGAGGGGGAGGGCCAAAACCTGATGCTGTCTTTATCTGAACTGAAAGGTGCTTTGAACCACGATGGTGTAACAAGGGAGCTCTGCAAAGCTGCCTTTCCTCCACTCTTGATGTTTTCTGTAAGAAATTTCATCTCTTCGTGCTTTTAAAAAAGAATAATCTTTGGCAATAGGATGCTTACTTTCTACTTCTATATTCATTCACGTAATGGAAAAGTTGTTGGTCTCCAACCCCCCAAGACAAACAAGGCTGCTGCCAGTGGCCAGAGCGCTCTATTGTCCCTGCTGAGTACACAGGGCAGAGGGTGGCTGTGACTTCCTTTTCCCTTTGGACTCTCCGCCCTGGGCTACCATTAGGCTGAAAAGCAGCCCAAGTACCCAAACAGTGCGCGACACCTAAGGGCAGGTTTGCTCCTTTGGTTTTATTTACCCGTCTGGCCATCCATATATAAAATAAAGTCACCTTTTGTCACTGGCATATACACACATATAAACGATACATACACATCCAGTTGTATGTTTGGAGCTTAATAATCTTTTCATGATGAAAACACTCTGACCTGTTTTCTTCCCAGTCAGCCATACCTGCCTAGCACCAACATTCCTACTAACAAGACAATCCTCAGGCATTTAGCAGCATAGGAGCAGTTATGTCCTGTTACTAGTCTTTTCTTTTATGATACTAGTTAGCAAATATAATCTTTAATTTTGTTATGGGTATTTATTTATTTATTTTTCATTATTTATTGCAGTAATAGCCTGGCAAAATAATTTTGTATTCAGAAGAAGCAATTAAGAAATTAAAAGTGAAGGCAGAACTAACAGAAAATTGCTGGGTTGTTTAGTCATGCAGCATTTTCCACAGTGTTCAATAATTTTTTATGCTTCAATTATTATGTGGGATGTGGATGTCTTAGTGTGCAGCTGCTGTTAAAGCATCAGTGATGCTCAGGGTCTGGGCATTCTTGCACTTTTGCAAGATGTGAGATCCAAATCACAGAACCATTTAGGTTGGAAAAGACCTCTGAGATCGTCAAGTCCAACTTATGACCCAACACCATGATGTCAACTAGACCATTGCACTAAGTGCCACATCCAATCTTTTCTAAAAACCTCCAGGGACAGAGCCTTCAGCACCTCCCTGGGCAGCCCATTCCAATGACCAATCACCCTTTCTATGAAGAACTCCTTCCTAATGTCCAACCTAAACCTCCCCTGCTGCAGCTTAAGACTGTGTCATCTTATCCTATTGCTAGTTGCCTGGGAGAATAAAAAAAAAAAAAAAATCAAAGGCAAAATCAAAGGTATCATAGAACTTTGGAGAGCCCCAAAGAGTAAATATAATTATAAACCTGCTCATGGTTTCAGTAGGAAATTTTCCTTATCTAACCCCACCCTACCAAGCCCCAAGTGGTTTATAATGTTACAAGCAACAAAAATCATCCATCTCTGAGGCTGGTGATGTGGTTTCTTTAGCTCTGTGTAGCAGGACAAAGTTCTGTAACGTGACAGATGAGACCCCTGGTTTTCTATTAAGCCCACATGATAACAAGTCCAACATTAACTCAGAGCACGATTCTGCTTCCCTGCAATATAATTCAGTGGGACCTGGATCTCTTCCTGCCTGGCACATGGACTTTCACAGGTCAGTGGGATCTAGAGAAGACGAGGATGTGGTAGTGACCTTCCATTATCTCAGGAAGGAGGGTGCATTGATCTACACCTCAAAATTTGTATCCATCAGTTGCAAAAAATCCTTTCTGTAACAGAAGTGAAAAGTCACGTCAAGCACTAAGTTCAGCCACTTACACAAACCACACACAAGCAGAACTGGGACTTCTGTCATTCTGCTCAAGGTGCTTTTGTGAAAATCTCATTTCTGTTTTGACATCTCTTCTGTTTACTCCAGTCTGTACAAACTTCTCGGAGCCTCCAGGGCTTGCCTGGACACTCCCTTTTCCCTGCTGAGGTGAAGGCAGCAGGCAGGTATGTTGTGCACCAGCCCTGGTCTTGCCTGACTGTTCCCCAAGGCCCAAAACTCGAGTGTGGTGATTTCCTTTGAGTTCACCAAGCAGGTTTTGCAGCTGAACTACACTCACAAATGGCTTCCTTTATATCCCAGAATACTCTTTTAGCTGGAATACCTTAAAGTTATTAGTATAGCAAATCCATGTATCTTGAATCCTAACAAGTTACAAGAGGAACTAAGTTTATCAGTTTAAGTCAACGTATACCCAAGTATGAAGATAAAAAGTGAAATACATTGACATATAATACAATCTCAGAGGTACTTTCCATTTTTTTTCTTTATCAAAGTGGGTTTGGGGGTACCTGGTATTCATTAATATTTGGTAATTAAAAAACTGCTATCAGGCTTCTAAAAAAAAAAAAAAAGCAGCAGAAGTGGTTAGACTTTGAGGTGGTTGGATTGGCTCTTTCAGATTGAATAATCACATCTGATTATTGCTCTACTGATAATACTTCACTCTTTGAGGCTGCAAGTTTTGTCTTGGCAGTATTGGTATGCTACTGCCTGGCTGTCCCACCCGGTCTCTGAACTGCTCCCAGTGCAGCCTCACACAGGGTGAGCTTCCCTTGGCATCAGAACAACTCAGCAGGAAGGTCAGGTGAGACTTCGTGGCAGAATTTTGGAAAGCGTCGTCTAGATTCCAGGTCACTTTAAGAAAAAACAAACAAACAGTAAGGTTTTTTTTCTTTCTCAGTAGGTCTATGTGTAGTTTTACTGAAACAGCAAGCCCCACAACAAGGTATTTGTGCAATCCCTCTACTTTGGCAATTCACCCGTGGCAGAAGTAGAAGCAGTTCAGGGTGTGCGTTGTCTCGGTGTAATGACACCAAAATCCAGGTTGTGGTATGGACAAAGAAAAGGCGAAACCTTCGTAAATGGGATACCTGCACGGAGAGGGAAACAATGAAGTCATGAAATGTCCTCAATACGTTTTTGTGTTTATAGAGTAATTTGGAATCATGTACGCTGAAAAAGACCTTTCAGGTCTCTGAGCCCATCCGTAAACTTAGATCCACCACTAAAACATGTCCCTCAGTGCCACATCTACCACTGGTGACTCCACCACTTCCCTGGGCAGCCTGTTCCAGTGCTTGGCAACCCCTTCCGTGAAGAATTTTTCCCAAAATCCATTCTAAACGTCCCCTGGTGCAACTTGGGGCCATCTCGTCTCATCCCAACACTTGTCCTTCCAGGGAGTTGGTCGGAGCAATAAGGTGTCCCCTGAGCCTCCTCTTCTCCAGGTAGAACACCCCCATAACCCCGTGTGGTTTTTAACCCATTTTTTGCGTATTTTAGCGTTTTCAGGGAGATGGGGATGGAGAGCAGCGCAGGACAAGCCGTGAGGTTAGTGGGACAGACAGGGCTGTGGCAGCTCTTACTGAGGGATGGAACTTTTTTTTTCTTTTTTTTTTTTTTAATTTTTTTTTTACTTTGATCTCACGACACGATCCACCCGGGCAGACATTCACGCACGGCTTCTAGCCCGGCTTTTCGCAGAAGAGGAAAGCACTTCACCTCCCTCCCAAACTGGCTTTGCTAACTAGAGATATTTGAAGCGCCTTAAAAAAAAATAAAAAAGAAAGAAAGGAAAAAAACAACGAAAACCACACAACTGGCTAGAGGAACGGTCGGTAATGTTTAACTGAGTTGCTGGTTTAACCGCGGGGGCTGCGGGAAGATGGCGGCCCCTTTAAGGGGGCTGCCCCGCTCTCCGCCCGCCCGCCCCTCTTCGGCTCCCCCGCCCCGCCCGAGACACTGCGAGTCGAAGCGCGCGCACGCGCAGTGCTCCCGGCCGGCCCGGCGCGCCTGCGCACTCACCTGCTCCTGGCCCCCCCCCCCCCCCCCCCCCCCCCCCCCCCCCCCCCCCCCCCCCCCCCCCCGGTACATCCGGGTCAGCGCGCGCCCGCCCGCACGGCCGGTGCCCGCGGAGCTGCGGCCGCGCCCCCCCCCCCCCCCGCTCCCCTCCCCGCGCGCCCCCGCCGCCCGCCCGCGCGCGCTCCCGGCGCGCCCGCCCCGTCCGGCCGAGCGGGGCAGCCGGCCGATCCCGATCCCGGTCCCGATCCCGGTGTCCCGCTCCGCATCCCGCTCCCGGCGCCCCGCTCCGGATCCCGCTGCCCGGCTCGGTGAGTGCCCGAGGCGGGCGGGGCGCTCGCTGCTGTCGCTGCCGCCGCCGCCGCATCCCCCGCGCGTTCCCGCACCCCGCGACCCCCGCCCGTCCCCACGGGTCCTCCTCCCTCCCCCCCCCCTCCATTCCCCGCCCGGCTCCGGCTGTTCCTCTCCCCGCTCCCCCCACGGCCCCTCCGCAACTTTCCCGTCCCGCGACCCCTCCTCGCCGCTCCCCGCCCCGGGGGAACCACGCGGGTCGCCGGGGCCGGACCGCCCTCCCCGGGGCTTTCCCGACGGCTCCTTGTCCCCCGGTCCCGGGCAGGGGATCCACGTTGCTCCCTGTGCGGCTCCCGCCGGGATGCAGGTGGTGCCGCGGGATGCGGGGATGCGGTGACGGCGTTAATGGATAACGGGAGCGGCGGGAGGGGGAAACCTCTGGAGGGGGTGTCTGCAGCCTCTCGGAGTGTGGCTGAAACATGCGGCGGGTTAAGCTGAATGTACAGGAATCGTTGCGAATTTGCCGTGGTTGGGGTGTATCCTGCGGTGCTGTGATGCTGGGACTGTGATTCCAAGTGGGGATAAGGTGAATTTGGAGTCTGTAGCAGAAGGGTGTTTTTTCTAACCTGCCCATTAAATAGGCGATAAAATCAAATTTTAATTGCATTATAATTTTTCCCCATGCAATTCAAGAATAAGGATGCGTGCAACTTAATTCTCTTGTGTTACTTTTAATCTGGTGTTGTGTCTTGCGTGGCAGTAAAATATGAGAAGTTTCTTCACATAAACGTTTCAGATACCAAAGAAATTAGGAGACTGTGTGTTATGAAGGTTTTTGAAGTTTTTTTTCTTTCCTTTATCTGTTCCATAGCATCAGCATCCTGGATCTAAATGTCAGCAAGTGTGACAGCTGTCATACTGCTGTGATAGTGGAGTCTCAGGAACATTTTAAATCTGTCATTCTGAGGATCTGATAACATAATATGGAGATACAACTGTTGATTAGCATGCATGTTAATCCTCAAACCAGTAAAACATTTTCTAGATTGATCTAATAATCTGTGTTCTTCCTTATTGCTGTTTTTGATACAAAAAAAAATTGCAAATTCTGCCCCCCCCCCCCCACACTGACACAGAGTTTTCTTCCTTTGTGCTCTGACTGCATGGACTTTAAATGCAGCTTTAAGTTAATGAGCATTTTCCATAGTAGGTTGTGGCAGATGTGGGTGTTGGACAGCAGACATACAGTAATTAGCCTGAGGTTACTGTTGTCGAGGTTGGAACATGGATCCAAACTTACAAGATACCACCTGACAAATGTCTTTGTTCAGCAAGGTGCAATGTTTTGCAGACAGTATCTTCACTTCTGTGTGGCGAGTTTTAGCAGCAAAATCCTAAAACACATGAATAATATATCGCTGTTCCATGAAGTTGGAGTGTTTCTTGCCTGGCAATACAGAGAGTGTTCCATTGTTGAAACAGAAGCTTTCAGTAGAAGAGTAGATATCTTTTTATCCCAGTCAGGCTGTCAGATTTCTTACTGCATATATTGGCTGTCAGAGAGCAGGGAGTGTAGAAAGAAATGATCCCAGAATCTGTTTTAAAATACCTCTGTCAGGATTTACCATGGTTGTATGAAAGTAAGGAATGAATTTGATCCCATCTGTTATACAACTTCCATTTGTCATCAGGTGCTCTAGATTTTCTTCCTTGTTTGCAGTTTAGCTGGGGCCACCTGAGGGGACAGATTATTGAAGAGATTGTCTTCTGAAAGTTTATCCCCTGTGAAACCTTCCCTGTGAGAACCTCACTGGCGGTGGAAACCCGGTGTCAACCAGTTCTGTTCTTGCACACAAAACTGTCCTGTCCCCTTATCTGAGTTTTGCGGGAGTCTTAATGTCTGGGTAGAGAGAAAAAAGGAAACAATTTTTTGTTGTGTCTCTCAGTAGTTATATATCTTGGCGAAGTAATTGATTTTGAAATTAATTGAACACAGTGGTTTAAAGGGGGGGACCTTAAGGTATCTGTCAGCAGACTTCTAATGGTGCTTACTAAACACTTGGAATTAGTACTGTAAAGAGACAGAAGGGTGGGGAATATTTGTATTGCAAACTACTGAATTATTGAGTAATACAGTAACAGAAATTGGCTCTGTCATTTGGAAAAGCATAAGTAGGGGCCACGTTGGATTTCTGTAGCTGCTTTGGCGTGGTAAACATAAATGCAGATTTTTTTTTTTCCTCTCGCTGTGTATCTTGGAGAATACAGACACACAAACAGCCTGCAGTCCCCCTTTTTTATGTGTCTGGCTGCCAGCTGGGGGCATAGATGGAACCAACGCATATCCTGTAGTGGAGAAGGGCAAAATTAAAGCTTTTGCGCAAGGAGTTGGATTTGTTTCTTAAGCAGGTTTGTGGGTGGTTGTTTTAGTGTTTTGGGGTTCTCTTTAGGAAATAATGGCACTAACGTAAGTTCAAGGTTATCACCGTTGTCTTTGTCCTTCTTAAAGGCTTGTTCTCTTTAATTATGCCAAGAGTTTTTGTCGTTGATGTAGATGGGCATAAGTTGAGAAGAATGACTCCTGTTCGTTAAGGTAATGTTAACTACCCTGAAGTATATTATAAATCAATTTTATGAGACACAGTCATCGTAAAAATGTTTGAAAATATAGCTTCAAAGCTGAAATATTTTGCGTGTTGTCAAATTGCATCTCATGGATTATCAGCTGTCAAGCAAATGTGCTACAGGCAAGGCATGCAGCTCATGTGAGTATAAGTGCTGAATCCACACAAGGCTTGAATGTCAATGCCAACTCCTGCGCTTAGCACCAGGAGGCAGAGAGAGTCATCCTGGTAGTCGTTTTGGTCCAGCTGAATCCCTCCAGTCTATCAACATGGCTTCAAGAGGGGTTGAGAGTGAGGGGACTGAGGATATGAAGGAAAGTGTGTTTGGATTGGAAGGAGTTAAGAGTCGGGGCTGTGAAACATTGGCATCCTGTACTAGCTGTGGCACCTGAAATGCATACATCAATTAGGCAGGGTAGGAATTATTTCAGTTTCCCAGCTTTAAATGATGGCCACTGGTATGTACCACTTGACGCCTTTTCTAATCCCATTTGTTTCTGTATATCAAGAGCAGTTTTAAATAAGTTGATAATCCTTTTGCATACCTCGTAAGTTGTCCTTTATTATTAATCTATGGCTGTATAAACTTAAAAGTATTAGTATTTTCTTAGTATTTTCTTCCTTGTGATTGTGGAAAATATAACACCTCTAATCAAATGTGGAGAAGTCTGCATTTCTCTGCAAGTTTATGAAGAAAGGGATTTATTTGATTGCTTTTAATTTCAGGTTCTCTTACAAAATCACCTCAGTTTCCCCCCATCTGTGATTCAGGAATGTTCTCTTGAGTGCCACAAGTTGGCTGCTGCAGCTGGCAGAGTGTTTCCAACTCTCTAAAATTTGCTGAGAGCAATAGGCTCTTACATAGGCACTGTTTTACATTAGCAGTTCCAGTGCTTACTGGGGATACGTGTGTTGCAATTATATAAACAGCAGAGCTTGACAGAAACTAACAACAAACAATGAGCAGTTTTAGAACTGACTAGGTAGGTAACACTGAAAGTATTTTTAGTTACAGCACTTTCTCCTGTGTTCCCCATCCCCTGTGGTTTTAATTGCATTCTGCTTTTTAGAAATGGCATTTTGTCCTCTCTGTCACGTGAAAGTCTGATGCACAGAGAATACCTTCACTGTTGGAAACAGTGAAACTGGTTACAGGCAAAGCATATTGAAAGGTGCAGGCAAAATGGTGCATTCTTTCACCTTTGACTCACGATCATTGAATTTCAGGGTACTCTAAGACAGTCATAGTTGTGAGGTAAGGGCTGACACTGTCCTGCTCAGTGTGTCTATGTGGCTTATGAACTCAAATCTGCCGTTACAGCCTTTGTCATCTGGTTGTGCTACCCTCTTCTTTTACTGTTGCTACTGAATCAGGTGGCGCTGATGAAATGTTTAATATTTTATTTCTGGTTAACTCTGAAAATGTTAATACTGGCCATGAAAGTGATTTCTAAAAGAACTTTTGGTACCAGACTTATTATTTTTGAGTGTTCTTTAGTGTTACTTTTTCAGCACCTAGAAAAAGAATTTTTATGTTTCTAGTATCTAGACAAGTATTGACTAATTTGTGTGCCTTGCAAAAGACTGTTTGCCTTATTTGCACTAACCTGAAGTTCTAATATTGCATTTGGGGAATGTTATGTGACTGATCAAATCCACCATTTTTCCCTACTTGAAAATTTTCCTACAGTCCCACTAAATAAAATCATAGTAGGACTGTATGAAAAACTGGGGACTAAATACCTCTGAAACACAGAGATTGTACTCATGTACAACCTTCAAGCGTATGAAACTAATTTCCTCTAATAATATTTGTATGGGAGGATATATTTTTATTCTTTTACTCCTGCTCAGGGTGCTCTATGGTTTGTGATCTTGGTTGCTCAAGTGTTTGACCGATTCTCTGGCTTGTATCTGTAGCACTTGGGATTCCCAGGTGGTCCCTGTGCAAGCAGTGTGATTGGTCTGGGACAGCTTAGCTTGTGAGATTGAGTGCATTCAGTTTGGTGTGGCTGTAGCTACAGAAATAGCGTGCCTTGCAAAACAGGCCTTCTGTCTGCCACCTACACCAAAACCTAAAGCTCGATCCTGTAGGCAGTTAATACGTTTGTCTGGGAGGCTGATTCCATCAGCAAATGCTTTACCTGAAATGGGTGTCCACCAGGCAAAAAAGAAATCTTGTAGCGGTAATCACTTTATATGTAAGAAAGTGCAGCAGAACACTGTCCTAGATACATTTTTAAAAGCTCTTTTTACTTCAGACTACAGGGCTTAACTGTTCCCCGGTAGCAGGAGGCTGTTCTGTGAGCAAATTCTGTTTAACTGGCATAGTTCAAAAGACTCTTAAATTCAGCCATGAGGCAATTCTGGTTCTCCTTCAGTACTAGATGATTAAA